GATGATGATGATGGTAATGATGGTGATGATGATAATGATGGTGATGATGATAATGATGCTACTGATGCTCATAAGGATAAGGGTAATGATGGTAATGGTGGTGGTACTGATGATGATGATGATGCTGACGCTGACGCTGACGCTAGTGCTGGTGATGCTGGTGATGACGACGACGACGATGGTGGTGATGATGATGATGTTGATGATGATGCTGACGATGAGGATGATGATGATGGTGGTGGTGATGATGATGCTGCTGATGGTGGTGGTGATGATGGGATGACGGTGGTGATGGTGATAATGGTGATGGTGGTGATAGTGATGATGTTGATGCTGACGCTGACGCTGATGCTGTTGAAGATGATGACGACGACAATGGTGATGATGATGGTGATGATGATGTGCTGGTGATGATGACGACGATGATGCTGATGCTGATGCTGCTGATGATGATGACGACGACGATGATGATGATGGTGATGGTGGTGGTGATGATGCTGCTGCTGATGGTGATAGTGATGATGGAGGTGGCGGTGGTGATGGTGATGATGGTGATGGTGATGATACTGATGGTGCTGATGCTGACGCTGATGCTGGTGATGATGATGCCGACGACGTCGATGGTGATGATAATGGGGATGATGGTGATTGTGATGATGTTGATGTTGCTGATGATGATGGCGGTTGTGGTGATGATGATGTCGATTATGTTGCTGATGGTGATGGTGATGATGGTGATGATGATGATACTGACGATGTTGATGTTGCTTCTTACACCGATGTTGGTGATGATGATAACGACTACGACGATGGTGATGTTGATGTTGATGATGACGAAGTGGTGATGATGATGGTGACGATGATGATGATAACGATGACGATGATGGTGGTTGTGGTGATGGTGATGCTGCTGATGAAGATGACGATGATGATGATGATGATGATGATGGTGGTTGTGGTGATGATGACGATGATGATGATGATGATGATGACGATGATGACGATGATGATGAGAACTGGGAGGAGGAGGAGGAGGAGGAGGAGGAGGACGAGGGGAGGAGGAGGAGGGGGAGGAGGAAGTGCGGCGACAGGCCTTGCAGATGAGGTCCCTGGGGCCGAGGCCAAGGCACGGTCCTGGGTTTCGGGCCGATTTCGGAGGGCGGCGAGGTTCCCGGGTTCTTGGGTTCCTGGTCGATATTCTCATCGATCGGTCTCACCATCGATCTCATTACCGACTTCTCGATCGATCTCACCATCGATCTCACAATCGATCGCACGATCAATCTCGCAAGCGATCTCATTAGAGATCGCATGAGCGATCTCACGATCGATCTCATTGAATCGATTGTATTTCGGTCTCACGATCGGCCTTACAATCGCCCTCACTACCGATTCCACTATCGATCTCATTATCGATTTCACGATCGATCTCAGGACCCATAGTATCAGTTTTCAAAGCATCATCTGGGATTTTCTCAGGTGCACTTGTCCATGAAGTTCCGGAGTCGTCTTCGGCTGCCCTACTGCAGATCGCGGAATAAGTCTTACGCGTTCGAGTTGTGTTTGCTGGAGGTCGGGACCAGATACTGCCTGCGAGCGAACTGGTTGGGTTCACAGCCTGCTTGGAGCGCGCTGTAGGAAAGCAGGCTTCGAATCGGCTTCTGCGCTCCTGTACCTGGCTAGTTCCATGAGAACGTCACCCACAGTCATGTGCTCGAGGCTGCCAAGAGGTTCGGGATTCCAGTCAGGCGCACGAAAGGGCATTGCACCATCTACGCTCGCTTCCGCGCGCTGCTCTGTGCAGGGGCGGCTTCCCAGGTCGTCGATTCGAATGGGGCGAGGCGATTATCGCTGGCTGCTCGGGAGCCACGACGTTTGCTAAGATGTTTTTGTTCGGCCCGCAGTTGGAGGCCAGGGAGCATCGGAACCCAATATACTTAAGAAATGTCGTCGACGACGCTGCCTCGCAGCGTTGCGGCCCAAGGGTTCAGGCAATCGAAGAGCAACTCTCGCAGCTCTGTACCCTCCCCCCCACGTGCAGGACGGACACTGCTAGGAATCTTCGGAACCAACGCGACGCTGGGCGGGGCCAAGAGCATCGGCATCCAGAGTGCTCGTTTAGCTTCGTCGTCGGCTCGCTTCAGAAGGTTGAGGACTTCGCAGCAGGCTGGAGCGGAGATTGGGACGGTTCATCGGATGTGCCCTACTGCTGCGGCCCTCTGGGGCTCGAGTGTCTCGGGAGTGGCCCCCACCAGGATGGCGGGCCTGCGTTTTGGTGCTGCTAGTTTCCTCGGCAGGCCCCCAACAGGCGCTTCGGTCGGGTTCCGCACGTGCACCTACAGCCTGGGGTCCAAGGTCGACTCGCTGATCGTGCACGCAGGGCATGTGCTGTTTATGCGGGCCACGGCTGTCTGGGAATCGGCTCCGAAGGCCCAGTTCCTGGACCGCGCGATGCTGCACTCCATAGCCAAGTTTCAGAATTATTCGAGGCGCCCTTGGAGATCGGCAACGCCCCCGAGCGACGTGGCCTTGCTCGCGCTGCGTGGGCCCGGCTGGGACCTCAAGGGTCATCAGCATGTGGTCAATGATATTGGCGTCGAGTTTAATATGCAGCAGCTCTCCCCGATTCAGGTCAGGACCCCCGTTCGGCAAGGGGCGGCGCGCGCGTCAAACAAGCGCGCCCTCGTCCTCCAGAACGGCCGTGACGGCCAACAGGTTGACCCGATGGTTTGGGATGGAATCAGCAGGATCTTTCGAGAGAAGCCGGTTACCTGGAGCAAAGATCACCAGCGACGCCTCCGAAGTCTGGTCCCAGGTGTTCACTGGCCCCAGGAGCGGCTGTTCAGGCACAATCTACACAGCGACGACCTGTGCCAGCTCTGCCAAGATGCGCCAGGCACATTATTCACAGGCAATACGATTGCCCAGCGCATGCTGCACTGCGGCGTGATTGCGTCAGTCATCGGCTCAGTGCACGCGCCAGGAGGGTCAAGGAGAGCGGCCCAGTGGCGGCCGAGATGTTCGACAGGTGCATATCCCCACATCCCTTAGGCGTCTTCGCTTTCCAGGAACCAGCTCAGCCGGTGCATAGGATAAACCAGCCTCCGTCGGGCGTTCTTTCGAGGCTGCTCTTCCTGGACGGGTCGTCCAAGTTCGCGGGCCTCGGCTGACTTACCAGGGCTGGGTGGGCGATTGTTTCAGTGGGCCGATGTGGCGAGATGAACGCGGCTGTCTATTGGCCCGCACCTCTGAGCGTAGCCCCGCAGCAGACCAGTAAAGACGGGGAAGACGATGCTGTCTATATGCTCACGCAGGCGGGTCTTTCCCCGTTTGAAGGTTACATAGAATGTCAGAGCACTTTGGACCCCCTGGCGCGTGGCCCCGGGTTCTTCGAGGGCCCCGGGGCCCCGTGGGGGCACCGCTGGGGCCCTGCGTGGGGCTCCTTTGCTCTCGGCGATTTCGAGTGCTTCAAGGTTCTCGCTCGCGCTACTGGGACCGACGTCGCCAGTGGCAAGAATACAGTTTGGGAGTAGCGAGCTAATGGTGAAGCTGACAGGCTTGCTAAGCTCGGAGCTGACTGCCACGGGGTCATTGAAGGAGACGCCCAGCTAGTTCGGGGGGTTCGGCGCCTAGCCCGTGAAGTTTGAAGGTGGGCTGGGTGCTTCGAGGTCTCGATGCCAAGAGGCCCCCGCGACACGACGGGGCTCGAAGCCCCTCCAGCGGGAGCCGCGGCCAGCTCGTCTCCATATTCGCTCCCAGGAGGCGATGCTGTCGACAGCCAAGCCCTGGCCGACGACCAACGGGACGGGGGAGGTGGGTCGGACTTGGGGAAGGGCTGGATGAAGTTCTCTCGGCAAGTTAATCGTGTGAATGGCCATGCCTTTTTGGCCTGCGCCGTGTTTGGCCGCCTCGTTTTCCCGAAACACTGGATATGGTGTCGTTGTCGGCGCGCGCCCTTTTTCTCGGGAGCTCCCAATGCTGGAGCGAGGCGGCCGTGCAGGCCCAAGTCTTTTCATGGGCAGAATCCATGACCAGCTGCGCCGCATTCGGCCAGGTAGGCTTCCATCTCACAAGAAGGACCTCAAAGACTTGACGCTGGGGGCCTACGAGGGCCTCGATCTCGTCGAGCGTCGGGTGTTGGCTCAACTTTTGGCGGGGCACGCGCGGGCCCCCCAGGACGAGCCTGCTTCAAAAGTGTATGTGTGTGTGTCTTTGCGTCGGGCTTCGCCTCGCGAGGGCAAATGTTGGTTTCTTTCGGCCTCGAAGAGGCCGACCCCCCCTGGGTGAAGGCCCGAGGGGGTGCCTCAATCCGAGCCCCGTCCGAAGAGCTTGGGCAGTCGGACTCGGAGGCCTCTGTCGGACAGTTTTCGGGGAGCTCAGCTTTAGGCCCGTCCCCAATAACAATCTCCTCCTCCTCCTCCTCCTCCTCCTCCTCCTCCTCCTCCTCCTCCTCCTCCTCCTCCTCCTCCTCCTCCTCCTGTTCATGTTCCTGTTCCTGTTCCTGTTCCTGTTCCTGTTCCTGTTCCTCCTCCTCCTCCTCCTCCTCCTCCTCCTCCTCCTCCTCCTCCTTCTCCTCCTCGTCCTCCTCCTCCCCCTCCAAGAGGCTCCCAAGAGAGGCCCCAAGGCGGCCCCAAGACGGCCCCTTAAGAGACCTCCAAACTGCCGCCAAGAAGCCCCGAAAGGCCCGCAGGACACGGCAACTTTGGCACAGAGCGTCGCTCCGCTGGTTCTGGCCCACCGCGCTTCGGCGCGACACGCTATCCACTTCCCAGTCCCCAGGCTTCCGCGTCCCGAGCCTTGCCGAGCCTCCGCCCCGCGGGGCGGAGCGACACGTCATCCGCTCGCAAGGCACAGGGTGTCGTTGGGGCCGCCGCCGCGACATGCCATGCAAAAGGTCCTGACCGTATCCCACGCTGAACCTTCGCTGCTGGAGGCCACTCGCCCTTCGGGCCCCGCATCTTCGAACCGCAGAGGAAGAGAGGAGGGGGCAGCCGCCTGCAGCCGTTTTGGCTCACAGGCCCCCTCTGCCCCGCCGGCTTCGGCCGCGCGGCCGGGCGGCCACCGGTCGGGGGGCCAGAGGCCCGTTTTTTGATTCAGTGTTTTACCGATCGGCGCGGGCCCTCCTTCCCCCCCCTCCCCCCCCCTCATGGAGTAGATCTTGGCTGTTTTGGGCGACTGTTTCGAGCAGGCTGCTGCAAACAGTCGCACCAAGCAGAGGTCCAGAGCCAGACCCCCCTCTCCCCCCTTCCGCCCAATGTCGAAACGCCAAATCAAAAAGCGTTCACGGAAGGAAGCAGCAACGGGAAGAGCACCCACGAGACCCGACGGCGCAAAAGCATCGAGACGTCGCTGAAACCTACGACCAGAGCCCCAGACCCCATGTTGATGCGCCACTCTTCGGGCCAGATCGATCTGGGAGGGCCCCAGGGGCCCGAAGCCTGACGAGAACGCCCGGCTCGAAGACACTTTGCGACGCCCCAGGATCCCAGGGACGGGACGGGCGTTCGGGAGGCCAGCAGGCGAGCAGGAGTCGGCCGGTCCTGCAGCCGTTCCGGGACTTGGCATCGCTCCGACGTGTGCGTCTCTTCTTCGGCGAGGACCATCGAGGAGCATCTTTGATCATTTGGCGAAAAAGCCACGCACGAAACCGAAAAAAGCTCAGGGAATGCACGTCCGAGCGATGGCCAGGGGGCCTCCCTGGGGGCCCCGGGCACGGCCTCTCCTGGCCGAGGGGGCAAGGGCAGGCAGGAGAGCGCACGCGGGCAGGCCCTCTCGGCGCGCCGGACGAGGGCGGGGGGCAGGGGACACGGAGGGGAGGGCGCAGCCTGCGAAGGCCTCGGAGCAAGGGGAGGGCGAGGGCCTTCGAAGCCCTTCGAGGGACTGCGAGATCTTCAGGGGAGGGGGAGCAAGGGCACGGAGCCAGGGGAAGCGAGGGCCTTCGAAGCCCTGCGAGGGACTGCGAGATCTGCAGAGGAGGGGGAGCAAGGGCACGGAGCAAGGGGAGGGCGAGGGCCTTCGAAGCCCTGCGAGGGGCTACGAGAGCTTCAGAGGAGGGGGAGCAAGGGCACGGAGCAAGGGGAGGGCGAGGGGCTACGAGAGCTTCAGAGGAGGGGGAGCAAGGGCACGGAGCAAGGGGAGGGCGAGGGCCTTCGAAGCCCTGCGAGGGGCTACGAGAGCTTCAGGGGAGGGGGAGCAAGGGCACGGAGCAAGGGGAGGGCGAGGGCCTTCGAAGCCCTGCGAGGGACTGCGAGAGCTTCAGGGGAGGGGGAGCAAGGGCACGGAGCCAAGGGGAAGCGAGGGCCTTCGAAGCCCTGCGAGGGACTGCGAGATCTGCAGAGGAGGGGGAGCAAGGGCACGGAGCAAGGGGAGGGCGGGGCCTTCGAAGCCCTGCGAGGGGCTACGAGAGCTTCAGAGGAGGGGGAGCAAGGGCACGGAGCAAGGGGAGGGCGAGGGACTGCGAGAGCTTCAGGGGAGGGGGAGCAAGGGCACGGCAGAAAGCCCTGCGAGGGACTGGAGCGAGGGGGAGCAAGGGCACGGAGCAAGGGGAGGGCGAGGGCCTTCGAAGCCCTGCGAGGGGCTACGCAGCGGAGGGGGAGCAAGGCACGGAGCAAGGGGAGGGCGAGGGACTGCGAGAGCTTCAGGGGAGGGGGAGCAAGGGCACGGAGCAAGGGGAGGGCGAGGGCCTTCGAAGCCCTGCGAGGGACTGCGAGAGCTTCAGGGGAGGGGGAGCAAGGGCACGGAGCAAGGGGAGGGCGAGGGCCTTCGAAGCCCTGCGAGGGACTGCGAGAGCTTCAGGGGAGGGGGAGCAAGGGCACGGAGCAAGGGGAGGGCGAGGGCCTTCGCAAGGGCACGGAGCAAGGGGAGGCGAGGGCCTGCGAGGGAGCTTCAGGGGAGGGGGAGCAAGGGCACGGAGCAAGGGGAGGGCTTCGAAGCCCTGCGAGGGACTGCGAGAGCTTCAGGGGAGGGGGAGCAAGGGCACGGAGCAAGGGGAGGGCGAGGGCCTTCGAAGCCCTGCGAGGGACTGCGAGAGCTTCAGGGGAGGGGGAGCAAGGGCACGGAGCAAGGGGAGGGCGAGGGCCTTCGAAGCCCTGCGAGGGACTGCGAGAGCTTCAGGGGAGGGGGAGCAAGGGCACGGAGCAAGGGCTGCGGCCCCGCCGCCCAGCGCGCTCTGCGGTGCGTCGGCGCCGAGAGGCGCCGGGAGGATTGGCTGTTGCGAGACGGTTCGCTTGCCCCCACTTGCCTAACCCGCCTTTCGTCCGACCCGACCCCGGAGGCCAGAAGGCAATCAAGAGGAGGAGGAGGAGGAGGAGGAGGAGGAGGACGAGGAGGAGGACGAGGGAGTCGGCCTGTCCTGGGTTGCTAGGGCGCCCCAGGACTTGCGGCGTCGGGGTGTTCTTTGTGTGGGGGGGCCCTGGAAGTGCTGACCACTTGCCCGAGGCCAGCTTTTCACCCTGAGCCGTTCGGACGGACTGTCCCAGAGCCCGAGAAGGGACACCCCCCGGCCGAGAGGACCAGAAAAATACGTTGGTGTTTTAAACGTCAAACGTCTGAGTCTGTTTGGGTGCCTCATGGCCCCCCTTGGCCCTCCGGGAGTCCGCGTCGCGTAAGAGTAACCTCTCGCCAGAGAGACCTGGGGTGCGGGCTCACGCCCCCCCCACCCCACCCCGCAGCACTGACATGCGCTTGGAGCTGCGAGTTGCTCCCCCAGCGGCACCCTTGTGGTCAGGAACGTTTGCGTGGCCCGGGCTTCGGCGCGACACGCTAAGCTCGGCGGCGAGCCCTGGGGGGAAGTGAGAAGGAGAAGGCCTTTCAGAAGGCTCGGAGGTCCCTGGGCCTTCTGAGGAGTTTTCTATAAGCCCTCCCCGAAGACACCGAAAGTTTCTCACGAGGCCCGCGGGCTTCCGAGAAGTCCCGCCGCCTTCTGAGAAGGCCTTCTGAGTCTCATCTCCCCCACTCCTCAGACCCCCGACGTCATGATTTTTTCATAACGTCGACCCTGAGAGGTCTCGACCCATTCCCCTGGACCGGCTTTTCATCCTGAGTCGTTGTTTGACGGTCCCGAGGGCCCGTGGGGGCCCCCAGACGCCGAAAATATGGAAAAACTTCCCGTCGTGATTTGTTCGTTCCTCGAGGGGGTCTGGGTCATTCTCATCTCCCCCATTCACTCGCCGCCGATAAGCACGTCCCAATCCCCAGGCAGCAGCGTCCCGAGCTCGTCCCAGCCTCCCGCCCCCCACGCAGTGACACCGCGCTGCCAGCTGTCGCGGGGGGGGGGGGAGGGCGGCGTGTCGACGAGGCCGCCGCCGCCGCGGCGCGCCGCGGCGCGCCGAGCAGAAGGCTCCTCACCAGAGCCGCGCACCAGAGGCCATTCTTAGAAGCACCCCTGCTTGTTAGAAGGCGCGGGCCTTACCTATAGATGCGAGGCCAGCGCCTTCTAAGAAGCAGCCTCCTAAGAAGCCCTCCCCCCTCCCGCCACCCCCTTGTGCACGCCGCCAACAGAGGCCACTCTTGCCTCAAGCTGGGCGTGTCTCTCTACAGGAGGAATACCTCCAAGGATGGTAGACGAAAGATAGCCTGGGGAGGCTTTTTCTACCACTTTTGCTTATGTTCGATGTGTTTGTTGGCTATGTTTTGTTGTTCGTCCAAGACCCGCCTGTAGGAGGACATGCAATAGCCTGGGGAGGATTCTTCGACTGTTTTGACTGTGTTCGATGCTTTGTTGGCTACGTTTACATCTTTCGTCCAAAAGCCGCCTGTAGGAGGACATGCCCGACCTGACTCTTGCCCGAGGCCACCCCAGGCCTCGGGCGATGAAAAAAAAAAAAAAAAAAAAAAAAAACATGGCGGGAGGTTTCTCCATGCGCTTTGCCTATCGAGGCCCTCACCGGGCCCCGGGGCCGTCAAGGAACGACGCGGGATGAAAAACCAGTCCGGGAGACGGGGTCCAGACCTTTGGGGGTGGCGCTCGTGAAAATCGGGGGCGGCAGAGAGGGGGGTGATGACTGGGGGGGGGTGGACATCATGGCGGGGGCCATGGTATTTCCTCAGATTTGATGGCGCCTCTTCTCATTCCATTACGTCCCTGACCCCCCGCTGGGCCGCGCACATGCCGCCGGCCATGATTTGCACCCCACCCTCTTGGACACCCACCTCTCGGCCGCTCCCGAGGGGCTGGCGCTCCTGAAAAAAACATGACGTCGGAGGTCTGGGCCTTGCCCGAGGCCCCCCCGCTCGCGCGGCCGACGGTGGCCGACCGGCCACGCCACCTCCCGCCTGCGCCTCCCGCCCCCCTTGGCAGGGGGGTCGACCAGACGCCAGAGAGACCTTTCGCCCGAGTGACCGCTGGTCACAGACCCCCTCGGGCAGTGAAAAAATCACGGCGGGAGGTTTCTCCATATTTTCGGCCTCTCGAGGCCCTCACCAGGCCTCGGGACCGTCAAAAAACGACTCAGGACATGAAGCCGGTCCCTGGGAATGGGTCGAGACCTCTGAGGGTCGACGTCACGCAAAAATCAGGACGTCGGGGGTCTGGGGAGGGACCTTTGGTGCGGGCCCAACGGGGTCCCCCGATCGCCGAACGCGAAGCGGTGGCGGCGGCTTGCGCGACAAGGTTTGGCCACCCCTCGCCCCTTGTTGAGCCGCGCACCAACGGTCACTCTTGCCCAGGGTCGCGTGGCCGAAGGGGGAAGGGCGCTCGCAGCCGCGGGCATGCCAGAGGCGAGCCGGGACGACGCGCAGCTGGTGAGGAGGCCCGTGGCTCGAGAAAGCGCGAGGGCGGGCAGAGAAAGCAGGAGCGGCGCGCGCGTGCGCGCGCGTGCGCGTGTTGGCCCGGCGTCGTCCCTTGCTTCTTCGCCTGCTGCGCACGCGCCCGCTGCACGCGTGGCGTCTTGATCGCGCGGGTGGTGTGCTTGCCCCCGCCACGCGCGCGGCAGGAGCACGTGCGCGCGTGGGCTCTCGCACCGGCCTCCGATGCAGGGGAGGGCGAGCGGAGGCCACGGCAGTGGGCCTTCGGAGGCGGGGCCCTCGTCGCCACGGCTGGACGCAGCTCGGACAACAGGTGTAAGTCGGTCCTGTCCCACCACAGGAGGAGTATTCAAAAATAGTCGAAAAATAATATGGGGACTATTTTCTTAGCATGTTTTGACCATTTGAGAGTACTTGGGGGGTATTTTTTATTTTTCGTCGAAAATCCCCTTTAGGGTGACAGGCCCGACTGAACAATAAGTGCGTTTGGACCTTGGGAGGGGTCTGGGGGCCGACTTTGAGCTGCTGTTGTCTCAAAATTCGCCTTGCTCCGACCCATGTGGCTGGAGAGGGAAGCTGATCACTTTGAGCGCAGGCCGCCATTGTCTTGTATACCACCGATTGGATTCCTTCCGTCGGAGGCAAGGCGTGGGAGCGACTGCGTGGTCTCCCTCCCTTGTCTGGCGTTCTCATGCTTTCACCTGCCTCACTTTCCCTGCATCGCCCGCACACTGCTGCCCGCGCGATCGCCTAATTACGTCCGACTCTCACTACGGGTTTTCGGCCCTGCGTGCGTTGTCATACGAGGTGCGCCTTCACAGCCTTGGTCGGCCTCACACAGCGGGCGATTGCAGCCCACGCCGCGTCGAAGGAAAACGCGTGTGCCTGCGAGCGCCTGCACGAGGGCGCTGGCGGGCACGTCGGTCGAATTCCGCCATCGTTGGGAAGTTACGGTCGGCGTTTGGGGGGGGGGGCAGCGCCGTGTTCGGCCAGACTCGGGGTCCCAAAGGGAGCCGAAACTCGCGTGTTCCCCGCCTTTGCCGCTTCGAACGCCTCCGAAATTGAGCACTTGTTAGGTTCGAAACCTCTGCGGGCCCTCCTGAGTTCGCCTGGCGATCTGCTGGACAATCTTGGATCATCCTGGTGCCATCTTGAGGCCGATTTCCCCGAGGCCATATTTGACATCCCTTCGGCAATCTGATGGCCATCGTGGGGGCACCTTGGGGCCATCTTGGGCGAGCTTGGGACCATTTGTCGGACCCTGGGGACTGTCGTGAAGCCACATTGGGATTTCTCTGGGCCACTGAAGGCGACCGGCATAGCATGAACACGTCACACGTGTCTTTCAATGTTTCGAGGTTCGGACGGCAATCTCGGAGGCCACCCTGGAACGGTTCTGGGAGACGAGTGCATTCCATTGCCTTACTTGTTGGTGTAGGCAGGCGTTGGCCGAAACACCAATCGATATCCACTAGGCTGGGGGTGTCGCGGTCGGCGTGTTGGAGGAACGCGCGGGTGTCGGCCCGATCCAAGGGCCCCAGGGGCCCCAGAGGGGCCCCAAACCCTTCTGTGTTCCCTGCCCCTGTCGCCCCGAACGCCGCGGGCGTTGAATATTCATTCCCGCGCCCAAGTACCTCATACACCTCAGTTGCGGCACGCTCGAAGGAGCACACAAACACATCAGGTCTCAGCCGTCGCCAGCTCGCGAGAGGCACCGACGCCCATAAGCTGCATGATACTGAGCCGGACCCGCGCAGCTTGGTGGCACCGCAAGGGGCAAGGGGGCCAGCGGATGCTTCAGACCCAGGCATGACGAGCGCGCCCCCAAGTTTTGTTGTTTCGAGACGTCCGCGCAAAGCCATAACCAGCATGGCAGCTTTCGGGGGCGGCTGAGGAAAAGCGTACAGTCAACCCGCACAGCAAGGGTGAGCAATTTTCCAAGGTTACCCTTGCAGCCTTCCCCTTCGGCCCATCCTTGGCCGCTTTCGCTGGCCCCGCCCCGCCCCTCAAAGTGTCGACGTAGTCGCTACAACGGTGCCTCTGTTAAGTTAGCTTCTTCCGCCAGCGCAGACACCCCTGCATAGCCGCCGACGAAAAAGTTTGTGTGGTCCACCCTGGTACCTTCTGCGTTCGTGTCGTGCGTTTCGCTACTGCTCGTCTCGAACACACCTGCAAATAACGATTGGCCAGAAGTGTGCCGCGAAGCGCGCAAGCCCCTTCGACTGTCTGGGCCCCGCCCCAGGATCTTGCGGACAAGAGACTACTACGACGTTCTGCAGGTGCCAAGGGATTCCAGCGAGCAGGAGATCAGGAGAGCGTACAAGCGGCTGTCGCTGAAGGTCCACCCCGACAAGAACCAGGCGCCCGGAGCCGACGAGGCCTTCAAGAAGGTCTCGCAGGCGGTGGCGTGCTTGACGGACGAGGCGAAGAGGCAGACGTACGACGCGTACGGGGACGAGGACCCGCCACCGCAGAGAGCGTACCCCCACCGGCGCCAGCACGGCGACGTGCACGGGTTCACCGTGCGGGGCGGCACGAGGGGCCACCGTAGGAGAGATGAGGACGACCTCATCTTCTCGATCGACAGCATCACACTGCTGCAGTGCGTGGGGAGGATGTCGCAGGCCCTGCCCGTCATCGTCGTCCTCGGGGCGATGCTGTTCGCCGGCGGCGGCGGCAACCGCAGCGGCCTGAAGTTCTCCCTCACCGAGACGGGCGTGTTCCGGAACGCGCGGACGACGCCCGAGCTTGAGGTGCTCTACGTCCCTCCTCCCCTGATCCTCACTTCTCCATCCTCTTCCTGATCCTCCTTCTCTTCCCTCTCTCTGTCATCCCTCCTCTCATTCCATGTCCTTCTCCTCCTGCTCCCCCTCATCATCATCATCATCATCATCATCATCATCATCATCATCATCATCATCATCAGCAGCATCATCAGCAGCATCATCATTATCATAAGCGTCAGCATTATCATGATCATCATCAGCATCATCAGTAGCATCATCATCAGGCCTCCTCCTAATCATCCTTCCTGCCTCCCTCCTCCTCTGGGCCCCCTCGTCACATCAGCCCTCCTGACGCACCCAAGAATCCGCGAAAGCTTCCAGAAATATGATTCTCCTCCACCGCTTGAAAAACCCGCCGCACACTGTATCTCTCCGCTCCGCCTACGGCCCCATCGTCGACGACGCTCGCTCGATGTTGCACCCTAGGTACTTTGGCCGAAGAGCCCCGTGGGGGTTGGCGGGGGGGGGGGGGGGGAACGCGGCGCAGCCTCTTTTTCGTTCCGCTTGAAGCTTGATCCCAAAGCAACGTCTCCTCCCCCACTCCTCTTCCCCCTCCGAGAGGCGGTTCCGTGTGTGCCCAGGAGGCTTGCGGCCCCGCGGAGGGGGCTAGCCCTTGGTCTGCTCTCCAGCCGAGAGGAGCGCCGCCAGAGAGGGCTCCGTCCCTGCGGGCCCAGCGCCCGTGCGAGAGGCCAGTCGCACTGGTGTCCAGACAGCACACTTGTCGATCGGTCGCTGAAAGGAAGTATTTCTGGATTCCCAGATCCCAATCTACTTCAAGCGCGCCTTCCTGCTTCAGTGATCGAGTGGCTTCACCTTTTTTCCGTCCTCCCAAGCGGGCGGACGGAACCCAGTCTTTTTTCAACGCCTTCCTACTTCATGCTTCGACCTACCTCTTCCGACCGATGGGTATGGTTCCAGGCTGCGGCGGCCGCCGCGTGCTTTGTTTTTACCTAACAGCTTTTGCTGATAGGTTTCTAGTGGGCTCAAAAGAGAGCATCTTGACGCCCCAGGGGGGTCTGGGCGGGAACCGGACAGAGGATCCGGCAGATCCAGCCGCCCCAGGAATCTTTTGAAATCCTTAGGAATCTTTAGGAATCCTTAGAAATCCATTCCCAGAACACCGTTCCCAGGCCACATTTTGAATGCCCGGAGCCACCTGTCGGCCACTTCGTGTTCTTCGTCGTCCCAGAACACCATTCTCAGGCCACATTTTGAATGCCCGGAGCCAACTGTAGGCCACTTCGTGTTCTTCATCTTCCCAGAACAAAATTCCCAAACCATATTTTAATTCCCCGGAGCCAATTGTGGGCCACTTCGTGTTCTTCGTGAGGCCACATTTTGAATGCCCGGAGCCAACAGTAGGCCATTTCGTGTTCTTCGATTTCCCAGAACACCATTCCTGTGCCACATTTTGATTGCCCGGAGCCAACTGTGGGCCACTTCGTGATCTTCGTGTTCCCAAGACACCAGTCCTGTGCCATATTTTGAATGCTCGAGCTGAGGCAGGCTGAGGCCGAGGCAGGCTGAGGCCGAGGCAGGCTGAGGCTGAGGCTGAGGCAAGCCGAGGCAGGCTGAGGCTGAGGATGAGGCAGGCTGAGGCTGAGGCAGGCTGAGGCTAAGGCCGATGCAGGCTCAGGAGGCTGAGGCAGGCTGAGGCTGAGGCAGGCTGTGACTGAGGCTGAGGCAGGCTGAGGCTGAGGCTGAGGCAGGCTCAGGCTGCGATTGAGGCTGAGGATGAAGCAAGCCGAGGCAGGCTGAGGCTGAGGCTGATGCTGAGGCAGGCTGAGGCTGAGACAGGCTGAGGCTGAGGCTGAGGCAGGCTGAGGCTGAGGCAGGCTGAGGCTGAGGCCGAGGCAGGCTCAGGAGGCTGAGGCAGGCTGAGGCTGAGGCAGGCTGTGACTGAGGCTGAGGCAGGCTGAGGCTGAGGCTGAGGCTGATGCAGGCTGAGGCTGAGAGGCTGACGCTGAGGCTGAGGCAGGCTGAGGCTGAGGCTGAGGCCGAGGCAGGCTGAGGCTGAGGCTGAGGCAAGCCGAGGCAGGCTGAGGCTGAGGCTGAAGCTGAGGCAGGCTGAGGCTGAGGCTGAGGCTGAGGCTGAGGCTGAGGCTGAGGCTGAGGCTGGCTGAGGCAGGCTGAGGAGGCTGAGGCTGAGGCTGCAGGCTGAGGCTGAGGCTGAGGCAGGCTGAGGCTGAGGCCGAGGCTGAAGGCAGGCTGAGGCTGAGGCTGAAGCAGGCTGAGGCTGAGGCTGAGGCAGGCTGAGGCTGATGGAGGCTGAGGCTGAGGCTGAGGCTGATGCAGGCTGAGGCTGAGGCTGAGGCTGAGGCTGAGGCTGAGGCTGAGAGGCTGAGGCTGAGAGGCTGAGGCTGAGGCAGGCTGAGGCTGAGGCTGAGGCTGAGGCCGAGGCTGAGGCTGAGGCTGAGGCAGTGAGGCTGAGGCTGAGGCAGGCTGAGCTGAGGCGGCTGAGGCTGAGGCTGAGGCTGCAGGCTGAGGCTGAGGGCTGAGGCTGAGGCTGAGGCTGAGGCTGAGGCAGGCTGAGGCTGAGGCTGAGGCTGATGCAGGCTGAGGCTGAGAGGCTGAGGCTGAGGCAGGCTGAGGCTGAGGCTGAGGCCGAGGCAGGCTGAGGCTGAGGCTGAGGCAAGCCGAGGCAGGCTGAGGCTCAGGCTGAAGCTGAGGCAGGCTGAGGCTGAGGCTGTGGCTGAGGCTGAGGCAAGCTGAGGCTGAGGCAGGCTGAGGCTGCGGCTGATGCAGGCTGAGGCTGAGGCAGGCGGAGGCTGAGGCTGAGGCAGGCTGAGGCTGAGGCCGAGGCCGAGGCCGAGGCAGGCTGAGGCTGAGGATGAAGCAAGCCGAGGCAGGCTGAGGCTGAGGCTGAGGCTGATGCTGAGGCAGGCTGAGGCTGAGACAGGCTGAGGCTGAGGCTGAGGCAGGCTGAGGCTGAGGCAGGCTGAGGCTGAGGCCAAGGCAGGCGAATCCTTCGGAATCCTTAGGAATCCCTAGGAATCCCTAGGATCCCGGATTCCTAAGGATCCCTAAGGTTTCCTAAGGATTCCTATGGATTCCTAAGGATGCCCAAGGATGCCTTAGGAATCCCTAGGAATCCTTAGGAATCCAGATATGCTTATACACATCGCTGTTAGGTTGCTTTGCCGGGATAATTGTTCGAATGCACCTCAGCCAGTGAACCGACCTCGGCGCTCTCGAGGTTGCATGCTGACGCTTGCGGCGGTTGCCAGTCCGATGGCATGCCCACGAGCCCTGTAGCTGCTCGAAGTCTCGAGGCTGCGCCAAGCAGCAGCTCGACCTTCAGCCGCACAGTTGCAGTTCCGGCCCCCGCTCTTCCCCTCGCCCCCGAGAGATCGAGTACTGGGTCGCCGACGAGTTCGAGCGCCACTTGGAGAGGATGGCCCAGGACCTGGGGCCACCACGAGGCTGAGAGGTTATTCGCACTCCGCGGTCTCGGCGATGCAAGAGCGAGAGGAAGGGGGCTGGCGGGGGGGCGGCGCGAGAGCGCGAAGTTATTCGCGCTTCGTGGAGCGCGAAGCGCGAAGTTGGTTGCCGTAGACCCATTTAAACATCTTAGGACAAAGCACAAACGTTCATGGACTCCGGATTTCGTTCAAGAAAACCAAGAATCTGGATTGGGCCTTGGGCGCTTTCTTGGAGCTTTTTCTTCCTAGAACGTTCGTATATCTGGACCTGGGCTACGGTTGAAGAAAACGAGTGGAGTGAAGCAGGTCTCCCAGCGTAAACGCGTCTTATCTCTGAGCGTCGGTGTAAAAAGGACCCCCCAGCGGGCCCGGGCGACGAAATCTATACAGATCCATTACCCAAAAACTGCGTAAACGCCCTCCTGGCCTCCTGGCCAAGCCAGGAGGAGGGCGTGGCGTGCACGCCGCTGGCTGAGCCCCCGGGGTGGGCCCGGCCAGGGAGCAGCGGATGCGCTCGGACTGCGCAGCCCTGCGTGGAGGACCCCCCCGGCGGGACCGGCAGGCCCGCCGGGAGCTGGCGTCGTCTAGACGTAAGAGTGACCTTTCGCCGGAGTGGCCTTTGTTGCGGGCCCAATTGGGTCCCCCGATCGCCGAACGCGATGCGATGGTAGCCTCTAGCGCTCTTGTGTGTGGCTTCCCCGCGGCCCCCCAAAAAGCCGCGCACCAAAGGTCACTCTTACCCAGGGTCACTCTTGCGTGTAGCCGATGGCGGCGGGACGTCTCAGAAGGCGGCGGGACGTCCCAGAAGCCCTCGCGCCTTCTGACAAGGTTCCTGTGCCTTCGGGGAAGGCTCCGAAAACTCTTCAGCATGCCAGGGGACTTCCGGGCCTCCTGTGAAGGCCCGCCCCTTCTCCAGACATCTGACGCCGTGAGCTTCTCAAGACGGGGTCCGCAGCGGTCCGGACCTCCTCCCCGGGGGCCGGCTCCTCGTCCCGAGTCGTTGCTTGACGGTCCCGGGGCCCGGCGAGGCCCCGCCGAGGCCGAAAATTGGGCAGAAGCCTCCGCCTCGAAGCTCTCGAGGCGGAGGTCTGGGTCTCACCTCCCCTCCGGGGCTCGCCGCCGAGCGGAGGACCCCCGGCGAGACCGGCAGACCCGCCGGGAGCTGGCCAGCTTCGAGAGACAGGCGGGGCCCCGCCGTGTCGGTCGGCGGCCTGCGGCGGCCCTCGGCGGCTCCAGGGCGGCCCTCGGTGCCCCTGTGGCGGCCTCCCGGCCTCCCGTGGCATGTGGTGCCCTTCCACGGCGGCGCGGTCGGCGTCGTCGTCGTCGTCGTCGTCGTCGGAGGAGGAGGAGGAGGAGGAGGAGGAGGAGAGAGGAGGAGGAGGAAGGAGGAGGAGGAGGGGGGAGGAGGAGGAGAGAGGGGGGAGGAGGAGGAGGAGGAGGAGGAGGAGGAGGAGGAGGAGAGGAGGAGGAGGCGGAGGCGGAGGCGGAGGCGGAGAGGAGGCGGAGGCGGAGGAGGAGGAGGAGGAAGCGGTGGCGGAGGAGGAGGAGGAGGCGGAGGCGGAGAAGGAGGCGGAGGCGGAGGCGGAGGATGAGGAGTAGGAGGAGGAGGATGCGGAGGCGGAGGAGGATGCGGAGGCGGAGGCGGAGGAGGAGGAGGAGGATGGAGGCGGAGGCGGAGGAGAAGGAGGAGGAGGAGGAGGAGGAGGAGGGACGGAGGAGGAGGAGACGGAGCAGTAGGAGGAGGCGCCCGCGCGCCGGCGCGGAGCGCGGAGCAGAGGAGCCAGCGGGAGACGAAGAGGACAACGGGAGAAGAACAGCTGGCTACAGAAGAGGAGGAGGAGGAGGAGGAGGAGGAAGAGAGGAGGAGGAGGAGGGGCAGGAGGAGAAGGACGAAGGGGAGGAGGTGAGGAGGAGGAGAGATGGAGGAGGGTCTCGTAGCCATCTGGCCTCAAGCCACATCGGCTCAAGGTGTCATCCTGGCCCCCTTGCGTGTGCACGCTGCAGCTGGCGCCTGGCCGGCGGGGGGGGGCGGGCCCTGGCACCGCAGAAGGCGGGCGCGATCGGACATTTCAAGACGTGTGCGAAATGCCACGCGAAGTGCTTCACGATGTTTCACGGTGTGCGCGATGCACACCAAGTTCTACGAGGACATCACGATCTGGGGCACCTGCTCCAAGATCTGCACAGCCCAAGGGCTTGCGATAGTTGGCCATTGCACGTGGCGATCTACTGGCAACCATGGCGAGACAACGTGCGACCATGAGGACATGGGGCGCGAGGAGGTGCGGCCCGAATGCTCGCGAGGTGCGTCATCCGACACGGGCTGCAATCGCAGCCCAGCAGCACCTCACCATCGCCGCGGCCACCCTCACGATGGCGGTCACCGCAGGCCAGGCCGAGGCAGGCGACCCACCAGAGAAGGAGAGGCCGCGAGGAAGAGGAGCGGCGAGGCTTCGGCGGGAACCCCGAAGCCCTGGCCTTCGCCCCGAAGCCAGACGCCTGCGAGGGCACTTTGAGCTACGCCTGGGGCCGCTGCGTGCACGGGGAGCACCGCGGCGAGCGCAGGCTGCGCCCCGCGCCCCACCGCGCTGCTCCCCGTGCACGCAGCGGCTCCAGGCGTAGCTCAAAGTGCCCTCGCAGGCGCGTGGCTCCTGCGGCCGCGACCAGCAGGAGGAGGACCACGAGGAGCGGGAGTCGGGGGTGCTACAGTCGGGCCGGGCGAAAGGGGGGGATTGGGAAAGGGGGGGGGTACGAAATTTGCTGCATGCAGCTGGTTTCGGCCCCACCGAGGGGCCCATTCCTCGATACACGGGCGCCTCTGGCGCCGGGAGGCGCCGGGAAAATCAGCTACGTAAGCTGATTCTCACCCCCCCCCCTTTGCTATCCCCCCCTTTCGCCCGACCCGATACAGGTGAGGTGAAGTGGCCCCAGGTGCTCCCGGCTTGGAGCGACCCCATGGGGTCCCTCTGGGCCGCGTGAGGGGTGCTCTGGAAGCCGTGGGGGCCTCCTTGGAAGTCCTGGGCGCGCGGCCTGCTGCGCAAGCGGGGGGAGGGGGGGCGCCGAGCGGCCGCCCAGCGCATCAGGAGGAG